TATTCAGGTTGTAATATTCCTAAAATATTTTCTACAAGATCTGAGTCAATTCAGCTGCTTTTATTTTGACAGAACATTTGTTTAAAAAAAAAGGTAAGTAAATTAAATAAGAATGTGATTAAAGAGTTCAGGGCCTCAGAGAACTTGTCGCAGCTTCATGACTCTGATCAGAAACATCTCAGCACAGAGGAGCTCGCTGCGACCGCAACGTTTAACATGTCATCGACACTTCAAGGCCAATGAAAAGACTGAATGTGGGTTTTATAGACTCGGCTGTAACAACGAGGTTTCCACACTATTTTAAATTTGACCTTTTCACAGGCCCAAGACATGAAGAAATAAGAATGAATTAACACAGGGATGAGATTTCACCTGATTTAGACTAATGTTTAATACGTTATTGTTTAACGATAATTATATTTATCATCATTTCAACTTCTATCATAATAGTCACTTCACATTTCTGTTTTTGTCCTCAGTAATATTTGTTTTCGTGGCAGGACTGTGACTCACTATGTTAAAAAGACTTTTTTTTATCAAAATGAATAAACTGTTTTACAAACATTTTTTATTGAAAACAATAACTCACATTTATTTATTAGCTTTTTCATGATTAAACTTTACTTGTTCTATAATTTGAAATCACAATTTTTACTGAATATTTGGTTCTGCTCCAAAGTTTTAATAAGGACGATCACACGATGAGGACGTGTTGTGTCGTCATAGTGATGATGTGATGTCTGATGCAACGTCACTCTCAGGTTCACACCTGGTAACAATGATCACGTGACCTGTCGGCTGAGGTGGGGTCTGGCTGCAGCTCAGTTGCTGTTGGATCCAGGAGTCATGAGGCGGTACGGCCTGCGGCCACATGACTTCCTTTACATGTAAAATACCCCCCCACCCCAGACCACACACATAAAAGCAAGTCCTTCTCCAGGAGGAGTTTACAGGTCCAGACCCAGCGTCTCCAGCCGTTCTTTGATTCGCTCATCCTGGACGTCATCGCAGCAGACGCTCCGTCCAAACTGTGAAAAGCTAATGGACTTCAGCATCAGAGCACTGGCCTGCGGTGCATTCAGGGACCTGCGTCTGCAGCAGCATCTTAAAACGATCCTTCAGATGCGTCCAGGAGAAGGAGGAGGTGTCGACCTGGAAAACGAGCATTAAAAGAAGAAGTTCCACATCAGCTGTGATCTACATGGTCCGGTCCTGGATCTGGTTCTGGTTCCAGACTCAACCTAAACAGAACTTTCCAGAATTCTGTTTAGTTTTCATCATGAAATCACTCATGCAAAACTAAACCTGATTTTGTTGACGTTAACCTGTCAATCATCTGATGACATCATCAACCTGTCAATCAGCAAAGTTTTAATCAATAAACAAAAAGTTAAGTTTCTTGTTTCTTCAGAATAAAAGTCTTGGATAAAGTTTACTGTTAATTACACTCAGGTGCTCTAAATATCAGCTGCATGGGTTACCTTGGTGACATGTCTGCGGGCGAGGTCAGGCTTCCTGCAAAGTTCCTGCAGACGTTTACACAGCTGCTCAGGTGTGGAGTACAGGTACTGTGCTACATGACAAACAGAAGAAGAAGAGGTGAGGGATGAATGAGTGAAGACTCAGACGACAAGAAGACGACAACGTGTCGTTAGTCACCTGGAAATATTTCAGGATACACCAAAGCCTTCGGACACAGAGGAAAACATCCGCAGTGAACAGCTTCTAACCTGAGATCATGACAACATGAGAAAATGGCAACATGAGGACAAGAGGACAAACGTTTTTTGAGGCTAAATTATTTCGAAAAGTTTAAAAACGTGAATAATCGAACTTTCATCATTAAAGTTTTCAAACCAGCTTTACTGGGTTTTCATTCCAGAAGATTTTTCTTCTTTTTGATGTTTGTTCTTTGAGCTGAATCAACATTGTTCTGAAAGGTGATGAAAGATAATTTAGGAACTAACTGTTCTTGAAGCTTCTTCTCAGATACGATGGAGCCAAGACACAAAATGTCCTTCTGACAAATATATAGAAGCTATAGAATAAACATATCACACTCAGTGAGTCAAGTTCCTGTGAAAGAAAATGTTTCCTCTCACAAAGAGAGAGAGACAGACAGACAGACAGACAGAGGAGAGAGGCTTAGAGAGAGAGACAGAAGCAGAGAGAGAGACAGACAGACAGAGAGAGAGGGTTAGAGAGACAGAAGCAGAGAGA